AGATCGTGGTCTGATAACAGTTTGATTCGCTTCGCGACCAGAATCGTGGAACGAATTAAGTTTGTGAACCGAGATACCACTGTACTTATTCCCTCTGCTCTTAACCCCTTCATGACTGACGACATACAGTGTATGTCGCTGTCATTGGGGCTGTTTTCCCGGGTTCCATTGCCCCTCCTACGGGCCCGGGACCGGCTTCTCTGGTGTCGGCGGGGAGCTGGGGAGGAGATGGACGAACCTCTGTTCGTCGATCCCCTCCCCGTTCTATGGGACCGGGAGCGATGCAGATTGCGTCACTTCCGGTTCCCATACACCACCATCTGCTATCACATGGGGGGCTTGTAACCGTTCTATGGGACCGGGAGCGATGCAGATTGCGTCACTTCCGGTTCCCATACACCACCATCTGCTATCACATGGGGGGCTTGTAAGCAATTAAAGTAAAAAAAAAAAAAACGTTTTTAAAATTAAATAAATCTAAAAATAATTTAAAATATTTTTTTAAGCCCCCTGCAAGCATGCGCGTCGCCACGTAAACACGTGTCGGTTGCGTCTACGTATGAAAACGACGAACGCGCTACACATGTTAGGTATCGCCGCGCACGCCTGAGTGAGAGCAATAATTCTAGGGCCAGTATTTACACGCATCTCTAAATTGATGACCTATGGGGGGCTTTTAAAGCGTCGTCTATGGACTTTTTTAAGGTACTGAATGATGTCACAGTTTCACAGACGCACACAATTTTTTAACCTGGGCATGTTGGGTATCTATTTACTCGTTGTAACCTCATCTTTTATATTTTATTTTAAAAATGGGTATTTTATTTTATTTTGGGGCATTTAAGTAAATTTTTCATTAAATTTGGGGGTTTGATAAGGAGTTGCGCTAATATCATGCAACATAAAAATTTGCACCTGCCACCATTCTATAGGGTCTCGGCTTTCAGAAAATATATCATGTTTGGGGGGTTTTAAGTAATTTTCAGGCATAAAATGTGGAATATAAAATGGGTGCAAAAAAAGGCCTCAATCATGAAGGGGTTAAACTAATTTTGTGGCCCATGATGCCGTATCACACCGCAATACATCCAACCTAAAAAAAATTTAAGAACGTATGTTCATTCACACAGAACGTCTATATTCACTGCCAATTGTTTATAAATAGATCCTTAAAGGTTAATACATATACAACTATATTATTGTTGTTATTATTATAATTATTGTTATTTATTATTATTATTACTTGTGTGTAAAATTATTAATCCACAATACAAAATGTCCGGCACTAGCTCTGCACTTTTTTGGCCTTACACCCGAGGTGGTGGAGTGTGTGTAATCCGAGATCCTGCTATTCTATGTTCACAGCTGGACAGTAATCCCCCTACAGAGGACCTTGGAGCACCAGACTCACATTCACCACTTGCTGGTCGGATGGGGTGAATGTGAAATATGTAAATGTAATATTCTCCCGAATCCAAAAATAATTCATTTTTCAAATATTTAATCAATTCTGCCTGAACCCAACCCCATGGTGCCGGTCCTTTATGTGGCCTGTGGGGACGGAGGGGCTCCTGATTAGAAATAGGGAGTGTAAATCCCCCTGAGGAGGGGATTTGGGTTGAAGCATTTCTTCTCGTGACCCAGAGGAAGGTACGGGGGAAGGAAGGCTGAGAGGACAAGCGTGGTGAAGGGATCAGGAAAGGCAGAGGTTGATGATGTCCGATCACTACACTACACAAGAGGAAATATTCTGCTCACAGTCATCCAGTGTCATTGTGCCGTCAGGGGACATTGTGCCGTCAGGTGACATTGTGCGGGCAGGCGACATTGCGTGGTCAGGTGACATTATGTTATCAGGTAACATTTTGCGGTCAGGTAACATTATGTGGTCAGGGGACATTGTGCGGTCAGGGGACATTGTGCGGTCAGGGGACATTGTGCGGTCAGGGGACATTATGTGGTATGGGGACATTGTGTGGTCAGGGGACATTGTGCGGTCAGGTAACATTATGTTATCAGGTAACATTGTGTGGTCAGGTAACATTCGTATGATAACTCTGGAAGCTCATTGGTAGAAATGTACCTTTTCAGTCAGAGTTCTCATAATGGATTCCTCCTCAGCGAGTCTTTTCTTCTATCAGTGTCCCCCGTGCTGTGTGGCTCCTCCACCCTGAACAATAAATCAGTTCCTCTCTGCAGTTTGCTCCGTGTTATGTGACAAGTCTCTTCAGATTTGTAATACACACAGAGATCTCAAAGAGAACTTCAAATCCCCACAGCAGCCATTTTCCTCCCCTCAGCCTGTGAGGAACAGAGAGAGAACATTTCTGTACAGAGCAGGTCTGCCTGAGAGACAGATGGGAGCTGTGATGTGATGAGTGACAGGACTGCTCAGCCAATCACAGGAGAGAATCTGAGAGCAGGGAAGAACTAAGGTGATAAGTGACAGGACTGCTCAGCCAATCACAGATGATGAGCTGAAAGGAGGGAAAACCTGAGGTGATGGCTGTGAGATGAGTGACAGGACTGCTCAGCCAAACACAGGAGAGGATCTGAGAGCAGGGAAGAACTAAGGTGATAAGTGGCAGGACTGCTCAGCCAATCACAGGAGAGGAGCTGAGAGGAGGGAAATCCTGAGGTGATAGCTGTGAGATAAGTGACAGGACTGCTCAGCCAATTACAGGAGAGAAGCTGGGAGGCGGGAAAACCTAAAGTGATAGCTGTGAGATGAGTGACAGGACTGCTCATCCAATCACAGGAGAGGAGCTGGGAGGCGGGAAAACCTGAGGTGATAGCTATGAGATAAGTGACAGGACTGCTTAGTCAATCACAGGAGAGGAGCTCATAAGAGGTAAAACCTGAGGTGGTAGCTGTGAGATGAGTGACAGGCCTGCTCAGCCAATCACAGAAGAGGAGCTGAGGAAGAGGGAAAACCTGAGGCGATTACTGTGAGATGAGTGACAGGCCTGCTCAGCCAATCACAGGCGAGGAGTTGGGAGGCGGGAAAACCTGAGGTGATAGCTATGAGATAAGTGACAGGACTGCATACTAGTCAATCACGGGAGAGGAGCTCAAAGGAGGGAAAACCTGAGGTGATAGCTGTGAGATGAGTGACAGGCCTGCTCAGCCAATCACAGGCGAGGAGCTTGGAGGCGGGAAAACCTGAGGTAATGACTCACTATGAATGCACTAACCACCATAACCATCTGATATTTATATCAGTTCTGTGCGAATAAGGCACAATTTAATGTTGTCTTGTGCAGAACTAATGTAATAGTCTGAAAGTCCAGCATTATGGCCATTAAATGGAGCCGAGGAGCGCAAGAAACAAATATTATTTCCTATCCTCCTCAGCTCCATCTAGTGGCCATAATGTAGTATTCTTCTGATTATTCTTTTGACCTGGCAAGACAATATGCAAAGAACTTCTGCCTTTTTCCCCATTTACACAGAACAAACGTACATACTGAAAATAGTAAAACTTTACCCAGTACCCTGATATCCAAATGGGAATTTCTACCAACCATATTGAGGACAAAAAAATTATTGAAAGGGAACTCCTTGAGAAAGGATTTCCTCAAAAGAGGAGATGGAAAGATTGTATATTCAGAGATGGTCTTCTGCATTCCTTGGTTGTAATGTGTGGTAATTTGAGTTACTGTAAAGACTCACCACGTAGGGAAGCCGTCCCTATGCTCCTCATCACTAGGTGACGAGAAAGCATGGAGCTGGTTTTCTGGCACATCAGGAAACCTGGCGCTGTGTCTGGTTTCCTGATTGGCCATAAAGCCGGCTCCATGCTCCCTGGTCACGACGTGACCAGGGAGCATGAAGCTGGCTTCCCAGCCAATCAGAAAGTCGGGTGCTGCGTCATTACACAGCACCCAGTCCGTGTACCCATCGCACTCAGTGCCGCTGGTCCAAAAATGGAAGGTGCGTGCAGCAGGTGTCAGCGGGTGGCTTCCGACAAAATATAAGTAAAGGATGGGCACCGGCACTCCAAAGCAAGTTCAGTACGTGTTTATTAACGTACTAGTTGCAAGTAGAACACTCTAAACAACGTTTCGGGGTATCACAGGATCCCCTTCACCAGGCAAACACAGCACCCAGCTTCCTGATTGGCCAGCTTCCCGACCAACCAGGCAGCCAGTCATTACACGCTGCCTGGCTTCCTGATTGGCCGGGAAGCCGGCTCTATGCTCCCTCATCACAAGTGATGAGGGAGCATGGAGCCAGCTTCCCAGAGCCAATCAGGAAGCCGGGCAGCATGTAATGACTCGCTGCCTGGCTTCCGGATAGCAGAAGCTCAAGTATCGGGCTAGGTATCGGAGCATTTAGGCGAGTACGAGTACTCGCCCAAATACTCAGCATCGACACGGATACTGATAATAGTATCGGTGCATCCCTAATATATAACATCACGCAAGGTAGAAAGTCCATCATGAGGCATTGTGAGGGACATCATGGGACATTGTGGGGGACATCATGGGACATTGGTGGACTTCATGGGTAGGGTTGCCACCTGGTTTTGAATGCTGTGTCTGGGTTTCATGGCAGCTGAAACCCGGACATAAGATGTCAAGCAGACAGGGGCAACCAAAATTAAGATAGGGGCTACTGGCCCCCCACTGAAAATAGTCTCGACTGTGATATTTACATATGAATGGGTGGCGCTATCTACATATGAATAAGCCACGACCTCCAAAAATTTCCATACGTCGCTAGAGTGTTCGGGTTTAGATGGTAGAAAAGGTGGCAACTCTATTCATGGGCCCCTGGGATTTAGCCATGTCAGAACAACCCTACAGGATCTGGAATGGTTGGAGATGGTATAAAGGTACAGAGCAATGAGGACAGTCATAATAACAGGAAGTCCTACTGAGTAGATCCACAATGAAGAGCAATGAAATGCATGATGTTGAAAGTGAAAGTGGATACATTGCAGTCTCATTCCTATCCCTTAGCCTCGCCTACAAATTCATCCAGAGCTGCCTCAATGTCTCCGCACACCAGTGTGACATGAAAGGTAAGTCTAAATATCACCCCATATAAAAGGCATAATACTACACCAGGGTGGACGGGTCATCCATCGATCTGTGTGTTATAGGCTCCTGTAATCACTCTCTGCACATTTGGGATCCAGCACTGCTGAACTGAGATCAGAGGTTATACTTGTATACAGCGGTGTTCCAGTACTCGGTAGTCTTCCGCCTCTCCTCGGAGTGGTAATGTGACATTTTATGCTGCAGTCTATGTACATGAATGCACACATCGGGGATCCGGACATAAGGAAAAAGGATGATCCTTCTTAGACTTGCTTAAAGTGTCATTCCACCCAAAAATGACGCAGTCTTAGGTGGAGTCCAATGTTGGGGTTATCTTTTATATGTCAGAGTTCACCATTGATGTTATTAGCTTGCACTTATTTTTAGCATCAACATGATTTATTATGCTGATTACACCCTGAATGTACTAGTATACACCATACCAGCCACCCCGTACTATATAAAAATATGTGTGAGGTCTGATTACAGCAGCGGGGGCCATCATGGGAAATGTGACTGGTTCTGGCTAATATTTGTTTAGGAATTATAACAAAACGCTGATCTAAGGAGGAGAACTTTTCTCTGATTGCACACAGTCTCAGTTCCTACCTGGCTCCCTTTAAGCTCTCATACACACGGCACATACACAGTCATGGCCAAAAGTAGTGTCGTGTCCCCCTCCCCCCCTGCATTTCTGTCAGATAATTCACCACTTCTCGCAGAAAATTGTTGCAATGACAAATGTTTTGGCATTCTCATGTGTATTTCTTTTGTTTGTATTGGTGACCCAAAATGAACAGCTTTTTGATGAAACAAAATGACAGCTTTTTGGTAAAGTCCGTCACTCTGCTGTTTTCAGAAAAAGAAATGAGGCCTTTAAAGAAAAAAACCCAGTCCCTACAGTAACACATGGTGTGGGGGGGTCACTGATGTTTTGGGGTTGCTTTGCTGCTTCAGGCGCTGGAGGTCTTGAGTGTGTGCATGGCATTATGAAATCTGAAGACTACCAAAGAATTCCGGGGTGCAATGTAGGGCCCAGTGTCAGAAAGTTGGGTCTCCGTCAGAGGTCACGGGTCTTACAGCGGAATTCAATGACCCAACGCACAAGTCACAAAGCACCCAGAAATGGTTTTAGACAAAGCAATGGAGAGTACTGGACAGGCCAGCAATGAGTCCGGATCTGAATCCCATAGAGCTCCTGTGGAGGGAAAAGGAACCCTTCCAATCTGAGAGACCTGGAGCAGATGGGAAAAGAAGAGTGCTCCAAAATTCCTGTACAGAGGTGTAAGAAACTAATTGATGGTTACAGGAAGCCGTTGATTTCAGGTATTTTTTCCACATCACCGAGATCACTTGTACAAAACAAGCGGCGGGTTCCCCGCTGTACATTTAGGTCTGCTTGCCCAAAGCCGGGCTAAATGTAGAAAACAACTAGCTGCCCGACGCCCGGAACTGCGTGTCCCGTGCGTCGGGAGATAGGAATTCCAAACCCCTGCTGCCCCTCTACTCCCTGCTGCCCCAAGGTCGGGCCTCGGTTGACCTTGGGGTAAATCCGGCCCTGGTCACATGACCGACCTCTCCTCCTCTTTCTTTTTTTTCCACCTCTCAATAAATTTGTTATTGCGCTTTGCCAGCTTCTTACTCCCAAAGCCAATGGAGCGCAATGCACACTTGTAAGGTACATAATTGTGCTTTATAAATAAGTAGCACCGTTTCGTTAGGTCAGAGCGGAGAGGCAGCTCCCTCCCGCCCCCCTGCCAGACACGCCCGCACGCCCGCCCACCTGTTTGTGGCTCCCTGGACGGCACAGCTGCAGTCAGGTAAGACATCCCCCGAAAATAAGACCTAGTGTCTTTTTTCGTGAAAAAATAAAAATAAGACACTGTCTTATTTTCGGGGAAACCCGGTATGGCCATGTTACAGCCACACTGCTGTTTTTAAATGGATCCTCATGAGGGTATTTTCTTCTCACTTTGCGTATATTTCCATTTTCTTTCTTCTGTATCTCTGGAGGCAGAAAGTGAGGGGCGATTTCCACAAAAGAGACGTCAATAAAAACATTGAACCGGGAAGGATAGAAAGAGCACCACTCCTTAAGGAAGTTCACAAGATCCTTGCTAGGAATGTGTTCCTTTGGACCCTTTTTAAAGGAGCGGCATGTTCACCAGCCTTGTGTCATTGGCTGTCCATGACACATCAAAGTCATTTCTCTGTCTGAAAGCAAACACCCAGGTAGCGCGAGGTGAACTTCCGTCTGATACCAAAGTCTATCGCCTTTATCTATGTGTCAGCAATTAAGGAGATTTAACACTTTCCCACACTGCTAAGAAGTAATATAAAGTTTTAGTAGGTGTTTCAGGACCGTTTTTGGCCACAGTTTTAAGGAGTAATCATACATAGAGCAACGTGTACAACCTTAGAAATATTTACTACAGCGAGCGAGTTAGGTCTGTAACGGGTTCCCAAATGGTACCCATTTTGTTGGAGTCCATTGTAGCTCCATATCAGTCACCTAGCCGCAATTCTCAAATAGTCTTATATTGTTTAGGATTCTTTTTATGTTCTATGTAATATATACCAGAGCAGCATTTTTTCAATCACAAGTATGCAAAGTAGGGATGCACCGATACTAGTATCGGTGCCGAGTATTTGGGTGAGTACTCGCCCAAATGCACCTATGCCTAGCCCGATACTTCCAGTATCGGGAAGCCGGACAGCGAGTCACTACATGCTGCCAGCTCCATGCTCCCTCGTCACTTGACACATCAGCGTGGTTTTTGGCATTTTTAATTGCGTTTCAATCAAAAACGCTGAAACGCAATAAAAAACTCCCAAAACCTCCCTTTTGAAATCAGCTCGGAAACCGCGCTCATCCGCAGCCGTCCTGGTGTAAATGGGCTCTTAGGAGTGTCCCTCTTGCATTCGTCAAGATTTTGGGATATATACAACCAGGCCCGGATTCCCCACAAGACCACCGAGGCCAGGCCTCGGGGCGCAGAGGGGCGGCAGCGGTATGGAATCCCCCGACGCCCGGAACATACAGTTCCGGGCGTCGGGTGGTAAGTTGCCTTCTACATTTAGTCCTGCTTTGAGAAGGCAGGACTAAATGTAGTGTGGGGAAGCCGCTTGTTCGTTTACAGGTGATCGCGGCGATGACGCCACGTGTAAAATGTGTGCAGGCTGTCCGATCTCCACTCCCCCGCACCTACCTCTCTCCTCTGGTTCCGTTCTCACCACGGCCGCCGAATCTCTCCTCACTGGCCTCCGATGCAGGGAGCAGAGCGGCAGGGTTAAAACTAACCCTGCCGCTCTGTGTACACGGTGAGAGGGGAGAGCAGTGCTCTTCCCCTTCTCGGCTGTCACAGGAGTTCCAGCACAGTGCTGTGCTGGATTGGCGGGGAGGGGGGTGCATTGCGGAACCTGGACTTGGGGCGGCAGGGAGAGTAAATCCGGCCCTGTATACAACTGCAGTCACTGTTCAACCAAAAATTCAACAACAGCTATGTCCTCTCCGGTATCTGACATTAACACACATAGGTTTCTCCCATGATCCAAGTTCTTCTGAGGGGGTGGATATGACGAAACTAGGGATGCACCGATACCACTTTTTTAAGACCGAGTACGAGTACCGATACTTTTGATCAAGTACTCGCAGATACCAATTACCGATACTTTTTCTTAAAGGGACAGGTCACATTTTTTCTAAAGCAATACAAACTAATGCTTTAAGGTCACTTTCTTAATATTATGAATCATGAGATGACGAGGGAGCATGACACCGGCTTCCCGGCCAATCAGAATGCTGGGCGCTGCGTCAATACACGGCGCCCGGCTTCCGGATTTGCTAGCTTCCTGACCAATCGGGAAGCCAGGCAGCGCGTCATTGCATGCTACCCGGCTTCCTGATTGGCCGGGAAGTCGGGTCCATGCTCTCTCATCACAAGTGACGAGAGAGCATAGAGCCGTTTCCTGGCCAATCAGGAAACCGGGCAGCGTGTAATGATGCGCTGCCCGGCTTCCTGATACAGGAAGTACTCGTTCTAGGTATCGGAGCATTTGGGCGAGTACGAGTACTCACCCAAATACTCGGTATCGGCACCGATACTGATACTAGTATCGGTGCATCCCTAGACGAAACCCAAGTTGGGATTCTATCTGTGATGCTGAATTCTGTAAACCTGATGTGAGTATAATAACACATTTTGAACTTCACTCCCGGATCTTTTTCATGTATTTATAATGTTTCTGTACTGAGAACTCAGAGCAGGCACCATTGGAGGAACCTGAATGTTGTGTTGACCGTAGGTCTAGGTCCATGAGGATGATGAGTTTCACTAAGCCAGTGGTTCCCAACCTTGCTAGGGCCGGGACCCCTTGGTAACATTTGCCAAGTTGTGGTGACCCCCCAACCGTAAAATTTAGGGATGAACCAATACTAGTATCTGTGTGGGCTCTCGGGAGGCTATGCGGGCTCTCAGATGGCTAGTGGGACTCTCTGTTGGCGTCCAGTGCGGGCTCTGTGGTGCCCAGTGTGGGCTCTGTGGTGATCAAGCACTCACCGCCCCTCACTCCTGCCTGGTCCCCTCTCTCTGATCCTCTCTGGCCACTGCTGCTGCAACACATCTAGGAGAACTGACACTGCTGCGCTAGGAGGAGGCTGAGCAGCACAAGGTATGTGGGGACCCCCCTCGATTGTGGGTTGCGACCCGCTTCTGGGTTGCGACCCACAGGTTGAGAACCACTGCACTAAGCCTTACCCACAAGTGTTATACATATAAGGTTAGTTATAGGGGTGGTAGGAAGTGGTTGAGAGTCCATGACCAGACCCATGTTTAAAACAGACTATAAATCTATGGGCACTGTGTATAATATTTGGCTCAATACCTTTGTCTTAAAATCCTACAAAAAATAATGTCCATTAAGAAGTATATTTCAGTCCCGCAGCTCACAATGAGAAAAAAGAAATCAGTATCACAGTGTCCATGAGCTTGCTGTGCTCACCACACCCTACAACCACCAAAGATCATTGAACCTCATTGTCCCTCTCTTGGTAGCTGGTTCAGCCATTGATAAACAATGACGTGCCGAGAAATAAAGGTCGCTCATGTAGACTAATAAGTCCTAATAACAATGGTGTCTTTGTGTCTAGGTGTGCAGAGAGATGGCTGGATTTCTGCTCTAGAAGAACTCACAGGGAACACAAGGATGAGGAGATCAGGAGGAGTCATCAGTTCTGGTAAAACAATTGCTATTTGTCTTTCTGTTTTCATTACATTCCTTATTTTGTACCCAGTGTGTGTTGTATACCCAGAGTATGCTTCTCTATGCAATGCAGGCAGATCATGGCTGGTGGGAGGGGCCGCCAGGGTGCTGTACATAGCTGGTGGGAGGGGCCAGCAGGGTGCTGTACAAAGCTTCCTGAAAACATCACAGCACCCTGCCTAAGTACTTTTCTCAAGAACCCTCAGCCCTGATGCAAGCCGTGGGCCGGTTTCTGGGAGGAGTTATGCAAATATCAAAATGCCTTGATGGGTGGATGTTAGTCTGGAGGAGTGGGAGCTCCTAGGCAGAGGCGTCCCGAGGCAGGGTGACACCCGGTCCCGGTGCGGGAACCGGGTGACACCCCCACAGTGACGTAATCGCGTATGCGAATGATGATGTCACGCCCTGTACCGCTGTTACTTACCGGCGGCCATCTTGGTGATTGGCGCCGGCAGAGAGAGGAGGGGACATTCACCCAGGGGGATAAGGTATGCCGCTAGGTCCCCTCCTCTCTCTCGAGCAACTGTTGGGCTCTCGGTTCATGACCGAGTGCCCGACTTTTCAAAGGGGGCAGGGGCGTAGATAAGTGGGGGGATAGGGGGGTTCAAACCCCCCCCAGAGTGTCCAGTCACAACCTACCTGAGACACCACACAGCCCAGCTGAGACTTCGCACAGCCCACCTAAAACTTTGCACAGCCCACCAGAGACCCCACCAGGCCACTTGAGACTTCGCACAGCCCAGCTAAAACTTCGCACAGCCCACATGAGACCCCACCAGGCCACTTGAGACTCCGCACAGCCCACATTAAAGTTCGCACAGCCCGCATTAAAGTTCGCACAGCCCAGCAGAGATGCCACCACAGACTCCACACAGCCCACCTGAGACTCCGCACAGCCCACCTAAAACTTTGCACAGCCCACCAGAGACCCCACCAAAAAAAAAGTAATTTTTTTAAGATCCACCCAGTCTCCCTACCTTATCAGAACTGGAGTGGATCCTCAGCCTGGGATCCAGTGTGGGCTGCTGTGCTGTGACTGAGCTCCATCCATATGTGCATTGCTTGCACAGCTCCCTCACACACCCTGTAGAGGTGTTGGGAACCAGAATGTTACATCACACCGGGCCAGCCACCTCTACAGGACATGAGAGGGAGCTGTAAGCAATGCACGTATGGATGGAGCTCCCTCGCAGCCATTGTCCTATCACATCCCACCTCAAGCTGACACTCGACTCTGGGAGGCATATTTTGAATGGCTGCTCGGCGCAAGAACTGACAGTGCTGTGCTAGGGGAAGGCTGAGGAGCCTCTCACCTAGAAAAGTGGAAGGCACACGGGGACCCACTGGCCAATAGTCACAGGCAAATAGTCCCACCGCACTCTTGACCGAGAAGCCCCATATAATGTGTGTGTGGGGGGGTGCTGAAGTGGCCACGGATGTCGCTTTTTTTTCAAACCTTGGTGTGTCTGCTAGATAAAGTCTTATAATTTGAGGAAGCTGAACCCCCCCCAGGGAAAAAAATTATCTACGGCCCTGAAAAGGGGTGACACCAAAATGATTGTCAGTCATTTTGGTGCCACCCCCCTCCAATGGTGTCATCCAGGTGCTGGCTGCACCCCCCACACCCCCCTTGTGACGCCACTGCTCCTAGGTCAGCTGTATTTGCATGCAGACCACTCTAGATAACACCCACATGTGACGCTGAGTTTCCATCGATGATCAAAAGAACTGAAATCCAATGACTTCAACTCTAATCCAACTGGGCAAGACTGAAGGGAAGGCCGGAGTTCGGCTTTAAAGCCCAACTGAAGGTTCCTTGAAGACATTTCTAATGACTCCGGGGTGAATGAAGCAAATTAGGAACCCCCCAGTGCTAGCTCTCACGTTCCACTAAAATCCCAGTACACTGCCGGCAAAAAGCGGTACAGCTAGTTTTCACACGATCAGGTGTCCCCATTGGAAGATTACCCCTAACCTCTTGTTCTGGTGACAACTCTAAAATTTGGGTTTTCCTATCGCTTTTTGTCTTGGTGAGTGTAAATCTTCCCAATGGTGACATGGACAGCAATATCTCCAAAATACGCTCCTTCCTCACCAATGAAACCGCAAGATTACTCATTCTATCAGGTTTCCCCATTGGAAGATTCGCCCTAACCTCTTGTTCTGGTGACAACTCTAAAATTTGGGTTTTCCTATCGCTTTTTGTCTTGGTGAGTGTAAATCTTCCCAATGGTGACATGGACAGCAATATCTCCAAAATACGCTCCTTCCTCACCAATGAAACCGCAAGATTACTCATTCACTCTCTTGTTATATCTTGTCTTGACTATTGCAACTCCCTCCTCATTGGCGGACCTCTACACAGGCTCCTCCCCCCTTCAGTCTATCATGAATGCAGCTGCTAGACCTATTCACCTAACAAACCGCTCAGTGTTTTCTGCTTTCCAGCTCCCTCGTCAACTCCTCCCATGCTCCCCTCCAGGACTTCACTAGAGTCTCTCCCATCCTCTGGAACTCTCTACCCCAACCTGTCCATCTGCCTCCCACTCTGCCTTCAGGCGTTCCCTTAAGACTCATCTCTTCAGGGAAGCCTATCCCACCTCAACCTGACCACTTAACTATCACTTTCTCAAACAATTCATCCCCACACAGCCCCCTCCTCATGCATCACTGGCCCCTCCCTTTTAGATTGTAAGCCCTCAGGGGCAGGGCCCTCCTTACTATCTTGTCTTGATTTGTATGGTGATTGTAATGTCTTCCTTATATTGTAAAGCGCTGCGCAAACTGTTGGCGCTATATAAATCCTGTATAATAATAATATAAGCCTGACGAGGTTCTAACCTCTCACCACCCCGTCCCAATAAAAAAAAACATACACTTTAAAGCTGAAGTTCATTTTTTGTGGGGAGGGGAATAGCACCAAACTCCATAGATATGAGTAAAGGGGTGTA